AGACTATGGGTTGGGGTTGATCCCTGTGTGTGTGTGTGTGTGTGTGTATGTCACAGACTATGGGTTGGGGTTGATCACTGTGTGTGTGTGTATGTATGTGTGTGTGTGTATGTATGTCACAGACTATGGGTTGGGGTTGATCACTGTGTGTGTGTGTATATGTATGTGTGTGTGTATGTATGTCACAGACTATGGGTTGGGGTTGATCGCTACCTTTCTTTCCACCTCCCAGGTCCCGGAGCCCAACCTTCCCTTCTCTCACACCTTCGCTGGGCCCTGCCCGGGGCTGCAACCACTAGGTGGGTCTCCTGCCCCGCTGGGAGCCTGGGGGGAGCACGGACACCGCCCTTGGGCTGAGCAGCTCCCTGGGGGCCGCACACAGCCTGAGTTCCTAGGACCCACACTGTCCGGCTGATTTCAAGTACTGCCTTGGCTTCTCTGGGGCTGTGGGCTGCTTGCTTTGGGGCAGGTATTTTTACTCTCCCAGCAAAGGACTTGCCTCAGCAGAAAGGCCTGGATGGCTTTGGAGGGCTGCTCTGTCCTGTGTGCCACATTTAATGTCATTTTACTTTGCAAATGAGCCGAGTGTGAGCGGCCTGCCTCTTCAGGACCCCTCACTCTTCCCACCTGCCATGCAAAACGCAGGCATGCAAATCGGTGGGAAGAGTGACCGGTCGTGAAGAGGCAGGCCGCTCTCAGGAGCCCTCTCATGACTTCCTCCCCGGCTCCTGGTCTCCCTGTACATCCAGTGTGCCCGCAGCCTCTGCCCTGTCTTGGAGCCTTCAGGGCACATTGGTCCAGGGAGCCCGAATGCGGGCAAAGACAAGCCAAAGCCTGTGAGTCGGAACCAACTCACAGTACCGAACTAACCCAAACAGCGGCTGGTTCCGGCTCCCGGCGAGCCCGTGCACAACAGAAGGTAACACGGCCCGGTCACCACTGTCCTCAGGTTCCAGCCCGCGAGGGCCTTCCTCTTTGTCACTGCCCCTCCGGGGACTGGGCTCTCATGTGTGCAAAGCACGCGCGATGCAGTTCTTGCCCACCTCGCTTCTAAGGACTATTCCGGCCGAGTGAAGCCGTTGGCACCACCCAGGCACACGGGACAGGAGCAAACTCCAAACCAGACTCGCTGCCCTCCAGTGGATTCCAGCCGCAGCGACCCCAGCTGGGGTTCCGAGGCCGCGAGTCACTGTGGGAAGAGCCTTGCCTTTCTCCAGAGCGGCTGGTGGGCTGGAACTGCTGGCTAAGCCGTTAGCAGGCCGACGCTTACCAGACACGCCGTCTGGAAATGCCGTGACTGCTACGGAGCCCTTTCTCACCCCGCCCTCCCGTAGGGGCTCGACCCCAGAACTGTACTCACCGTGAAGGGTCCTTCATTAGAGCGGTCTCTCGCAGGGGAAAACGCGCCTGGGTCTGTGACGGTGGGTGCCGAGGGCTCTACCTCTGACCGGTGGGGCGGGAGGCCGGCTTTTCCCACCGGCTCCCAGGGGATGTGCCCTGCCATGGAACCTCCCGCTTTGCACACAAGCACTAGAAGATTCGTGGTCTCAAGCCAGACCTGCGCCTCAGCTTCTCGGAGGGTGGCTGGCCAGCTGTGCCTTTTTAAGCTCGTGTTGTGAAGAATTGATCTCAGGTGTGACTGGGTGTGTGCGCGCCAGGCTCTGGATGGCAGCTGAAGCCCACCATTCACCTGCAGGGTGCTTCCATGGTGGCTCCCCGCTGACCCCGTCCCGGGGTGAGTCGCCTTGCTCTCAGAGAGCATTGTCAAGTCGATATGGCCGCGGTTGTGGGTTAACATGGAACGCCATATCATTTGGTCTCCCTTTTGACCCTCTTACAGTTTTCAATCTCCTCTGCTTTCTTTATGACTGAGGTTGTCTTGTTTTTGTTTTGTTGTCCAGTGTTGGCCTTTGTTTTGCATGTGTTGCTGTAAATGAACTCCAGGATAGGTAAATCTGTAGACACAGAACCCGGATTAAACATTACCTCGGGGCATGGCAGGGGCGGGTGGGGGGAACTGGAGAGCCAACAACGAGGACAAGACAGAAGAGAATGTTCTGAACTTGATTGTGGTGGCGCGCGCACACCTCTTCATTCGGTTGAACTGCTGAACTGTACATCTCCGCCGGATGGAAGACTATGGTGGCTTGGTTCTCGTTTTCTTCATGCTGGTCTGGATTTTCCAGGATTTAAAAAATCACAAATACAGTACGAGGGGGTACCCGCAAAATGGGATTTTTCCCCCTAAAGCCATGTATTTAAATTTTTTACAATAACCTTATCACTTAAAAAATCATTTTATTAGGGGCTCATACAACTCTTATCACAATCCATACATACATCCATTGTGTAAAGCACATTTGTACATTCGTTGTCCTCATCATTCTCAAAACACTTGCTCTCCACTTAAGCCCCCGGCATCAGCTCCTCCCTTATCACTTTCAAAGTACTCTCCATCACACTTAATACGTCTGTCAAATCTGCGGTTCTGCTCCTGGAAACATTTTTCAGACTCCTCTGTTTGGATGGTTGACAGTCCCTCCCTTGTTTTTTTCTTCACTCTTCTAGGCAGTCAAATTGCCATCCTTTCGTGTCCCTCATTGTTTATGGAAACAAGAAGTCACATGGAGCAAGGTCCGGTAAGGTGTGTGGGGCAAAAGAGACATGATGGTTTTTTGCCCCAAACTGGCACACTGAGATGGCTGCGTGACCAGGTGCATTGTCATGGTGGCAAAACCATCCCCGTCTGCCACAGGTCAGGCCTTGTTTGTTGCACCGTTACACAATCTCTCAGAACCTGTAAATAGGAAGCTTGTTAACAACAGTCCACCTGGTGGAATGGACTGAAGAAGCACCACGAGCCGACATTTGCATTCGTTCGGAAAGTGGATGGAAGTCCAGAACGAGGTTTGTCACCTGTCAACATTTCGCCTTTTTTGAAGTGAGAAAACCACTCATACACTTGAGTTTTTCCCATAGCGCTGTCCTAGGAAGCTGTGTTCAACATCACAACAATTTCTGTGGGTTTTTTCCTGAGCAGAAAACAAAATTTCACAGCAACACGCTGTTCTCTTAAAATGGCCATCACAAAAATGAGGTTCAAACCAAACCACTTTCATGAAAAAAAATTCATTGTGACCAGAGAGAACCTTACCAGGTGATGCCGCTGGGTGCACTACCTCAGAGCAAGTTGCTCAGTGCTCAACTAATGGGAAAAATACGTACTATGAAAGCTCCACCCAGCAGCTTCCCCCCCCCGTTTTTTTTGGGGGGTGCCCCTTGTATTTTATGTGAATTAGATGCCAATGAAACTGTCTTAAAAATCTCTGGTGTGATGGCTAATTTTACGTGTCAACTTGTATAGGCTACGGTGCCCGGTTGTTTTACCAAATACTATTCTAGATATAGCTGTGAAGATACTTACGTGGTATCATGGGTTAGGCGTTGGGCCACTAACTTCAAGGTCAGCAGTTTGAAATCACCAGCCGCTCAGCAGGAGAAATACGAAGCTCTTAACTCCCGGGAAGAGTCAGTCTTGGAAACCCACAGGGCAGGTCTGTCCTGCAGAGTCACCATGAGTCATCACCCCCACAGAGTTCTGGAACATTTGCCATCAGTTGATGTTAAGTAACAAAGATAATTCTTACCGAAGTGGATGAGCTTCATTCAATCAGCGGATGACCTTAAGAAACAAAAACTGAGGCTTCAAGAGAACAAAAAGTTTGACCTTAAGACCTTAACAGAAATACAGCACACCCATTTCATACTCAGGATGGCCTGCTGCCCAGCGGAGTTTGGACTTCCAGCCCCTCATAACCACAGGAACCAATTCCTTAACATCACTATCTACCTATCCTTCCAACGATCACACCGTCTTTATTCTTCTGGAGAACCGAGTGAACACACCTGGAATTAGAATCTGGGCCTCACCTTGTATTCTCACACTAATGTCCACCTGCCCCTCTTGCTTAGACGTTCCCTGCTGGGGCGCTGGAGCCCAGGGCCAGCAAGTCACTGCCAGGGAGCGGCAGGGCCTCCTCCTTAGAGTCTACAGCACCCTGAAAAACCAAGTGACTTGGAGGTGGCTTGACAGCCACTCGTTGGTTTTGGGGTGATGGATGGCAGGGGGTTAGGAGTCAGGCCAATCTGGACTTCCACCCCAGCTCTTCTTGCTCGCCGTGCAGGAGCGTCTGTGCCTCTGTGTTCTCAATGGGAAATGGCTGACACAGCACCTGCCGGGAAGCACCACGGTCCCCATTTGAAGTGCTCCCGAGTGTTGGTTCCGCATTGGGCTGTTCACTGCAAAGTCAGCGGTTCAAAACCACCAGCCACTCTGTGGGAGAAAGACGAGGCTTTCTACTCCCATTAAGAGCTACAGTCTCATCCCTGGTTCGATCCTGGATTTTAGCACCAAAAAAAACCAGACACAAAAACCTAGTTTCCGAAGTCTACAGGGTCGCTGTGAGTTGGCATGGGCTTCAGGGCAGTGACTCTGGTTTAGTTTTGCCTGTTATGTCCCAGCACACAGAGCTCTCCATCTGTCTAGCCAGCTGACCTGACACTTTGGACAAGAAGATCAACTGTCAGCGTGTAAACACAACCGCCAACTTCCTCCAAAGGCCCTTGCTTGTTTCGCACCAAATGAGGAAACTGCTCTCGTAGTAGGAGGAAGCAAGATCGAAGCATAACTTTAGAAGCAGCACTTGCTCAACTAAACCTACATCTCTACCCTAGGACCACTGACCCAGATGCAGGGAACAACGAGTGGCAAGGCTCCAGGTTTGTGCTTGGGTACTAAACTACAGGTTGGTGGTTCAAACCCATCAGAGGTGCTGTGGAAGAAAGGTGTGGTGCTCTGCCCCATAGAGACTACAGCCAAGAACCTAGATTTTACTCCATAACACACGGTGTCACCTTGAGTCAGGAATCACCTCGATGGCCGTGGGTTCGGTGGAGGGCACCGTGCAGAACACAACTTGGAACAGAAGCGTTGCGTCATCTGGTTTTATCATCTTGTTTATTAAGAAATCCTTCTGCAATTGGCCAAATCGGTATTATATTTAAACACGCACACGTAACAAATGAAGCCAGGAGACGTGGGGACTGACGGACCACATAGTGTTTCTACAGGAGCGTCCCACTTTAAGGGAGACAGGTGTCTTGGGGCCAGGCGGACAAGCCAGATAAGTTAAGAGGTGGCTATGTTTTGTAAGAGGGCTTTCCGGCAGCTTCACTCCCAGAGGGGTGCTAAGTGAAAGCAGAAGTAGAACCCCAAGGCTGGGTCCTCGGTCCCTGAGGAGGAGGCTCTAAAGACAGGCGGGGTCTCCCTGGAGGCTGCTCTTTTCTCAGAGGAAGGGTCTCTGTGGAAGGCTGAAGCAGGAGCCTGAAGCAGCGCAGGGGCCCAGGGAGCCAGCGTCTGGGAGTGCAGGAGGGAAGCGGGAGGGCACTTCGGTTGCCTGCTGGCCTGAGCAGGGCTTTGGCACGGGAACACAGGTTCAGAAGCCTTCTCTTGGGTCACACAGCTGCCAGTCCCCCATCTTCGAGGCTTCGTGTCCTGTCTCCCGGGCAGGGCATCCTGTGGTGTCTGGAGCTGTGCTGCCCTCACACGGTGGCATCTTGGGAGGGAAAAGCAAGGTCAGGCCACACCAGGAAGCCGGAACCCAAGCTCTGCTCAATGCACCTACCCCCCTCTACCTAGTACCGACTTTCTCTGCGATCCCTTTACACTTTCCCAGCCTCCCAGGTTTCTGGGAGCCCTGGCTGCATCGTGGGTTATGTGTTGGGCTGTGAACCGCGTGCTCCGCAGTTTGAACCCAAAAGAAGTGGCCTTTTGCTCCTACAAAGGTTTACGGCCTTGGATGCCCACAGGGGTAGTTGTACTCTGTCTGAATGTCACGACTACCAATGAGAAGTTTATTTGTGCCTTAGTAGCTCAGCAAAGGCATTTGACTGTGTGAATCGTTACAAACTATGGATAACATTGGAAAGAGGGTGAATTCCAGAACACTTCACTGGGCTCCGCTGGAAACCTATCCACAGACCAAGAGGCGGTTGTGCCAGCAGAACAAGGGGACAGTGGTTTCAGACCAGTGTGTCACCATTATACCCTTTCACTGTTTATTCAATCTGCACGCCCAGCAAATAAGCCAAGGAGCTGGAGTATATGAAAAACTCAACACCGATGGGAACAAGGCTCCTTGATAACCTTCCATATGCAGCTGACACACCCTTGCTGAAGGGACGAAGACTCAAAACATTTTTTTTTTAATTTAATTTTTTTTTTTTACTCAAAACATTTATGAAGATAAAAAAACCAAACAAAAAACCCTGACTGCAGCTTTCAGTATGGATTACAATTTAAGGCAATCCGAACAAAATTCCTCATAACCAAACCAATAATAACCATGATAAAAATAGATTAAAAAGTGGGTGAAGGTTGACAGAAGATGATGTAAGATATGAAAGTAATACTCTATCATTTACCAAGGGTTCATGAGGGGGGGAGGGAGGACAGGGGAGGGAGAGGGAAAAAATGTGGAGCTGATACCAAGGGCTCAAGTAGAAAGAAAAGCTTTGAGAATGATGATGGCAACATATGTACAATGTGCTTGACACAATGGATGCATGTATGGATTGTGATAAGAGATGTCAGAGCCCCCAATAAAAGTCTTTAATAAAATTAATTAATTAAAGAAAATAACCATGATAAATGGAGCAAGGAAGGAATTGAAAAGGCTTTCATTTTACTTGGATCCACAATCAATGCTCATGGAAGCAGCAGTCCTGCAGCACAAGACCGCTTTACAGTGTGGAAAAGCCAAGAAGCCCCTTTGCCAGACGCAGGTGCACCTAGTTCAGGCCATGGTATGCTCCTTGGCCTCATCTGCACGGGAAAGCTGGACAGTGAGCGAGGAAGCTTGGCGATAGATTGATGCACTTGAACTGTGGCTCTGGTGAGGAATGTGGAAAGTGCTGTGGCCTGCCAGAGGAAAGGGCAACTTTGTCTTTGAAGTGCAGTCAGAGTGTGCCACAGACTCGAGGGGGGGAATGTGTCTCGCAGTCATGGGACACATCCTCAGGCGTGAACAGTCCCCGGAGAAGGACAGCGTGTGCGGTGGTAAAGCACAAAGCAAAGCAACAATCAAAAACCACCACCCAACTCACTGCCCGGACTGAGCCAGGATGGCATAGCAGGTTAAGTGTTGGGCTGCTAACTGCAAGGTCAGCCGTTTGAAACCACCAGCTGCTCTGTGGGAGAAAGAGGAGGCTTTCTGCTCTCATAAAGAGTTACAGTGTCGGGGCAGTTCTGTTCCGTCGTGTCGGGTCGGGATGGGTATGGTAAAGTAGAGGGCCCATGAACCAGAGGAAGCCCCTCAGGGAGATGGACTGACACCAGGGCACAAACAACGAGCTCCAACACCATAAATGTGACGATGGTGCAGGAGGGGCGGCGTTTTGTTCTGTTGACCACGGGGCCGGTATGGGTTGGCACCCAACGCCAATGGCACTCATTCGAAGATGTTCAATAGAGCACTGGAGAAAAGGCTGAGCGCGGAAACCCTTGATGTCCCCAAAGGCAGGACCCAGAAAGCGGCAGCACTGTCATGCGACAGAACATCACAGAACCGTTAAGCACGCCGGAGAAAACTACAGTAAGCGGAGCAATGTGTGGAATGTGGTTAAGTGATTAAAACAACCACACAGATTATAGAAGAGTGCAAGCCTGATCCTTTTAATAAAAGAAACATTACAAAGAGCTTCCGAAAATTTTGTGGGAAAATGGGATGCAAAGATAATGGGATTTTCCCATGAATGTTTTTTAGCCCACCTTGTTACATATGCTTTCAAAGAAGAAAGGAGGGATAGATATAATTTTTCCCTATCTGTATTTTCTAAATGTTCTATATTTTACTTTTGTCACTGGAAAGAGGAAGATCATTTTAAGGAAACGCTTTGCCACCTGGATGCCGTGGCAGCATTGTTCCCAACAGCCAAGCCCCTCCTAGATAAGCAGGTAAGCACAGTGTGGCACCTGCACCCCGTGGATTACACCCCGGCTGTAAGGGACAACGACAATTGTGGCAACAAGTAAAGGAAGCCCATCACTAAAGGTCAAATGCTGCTCGGTCCCACTTGTCTGAAATGTCGGGCATAGGCAAATGGCAAAGAAGCTTATTAGTTGTTACCAGGGTCAGAAGCGAGGGAGGGAGAAAGGGGCATTGAGTTCCTGTAGATGGAGGTGGGATTGGGAAAAGGGCAGGGGCACTGGTAGCCCACCATGCTGAAGATGAGGAGGCTGGGGAGAAAGAGAGGTGTAAACACAAAGTCAAAACCTCACCCGGCACCCCACACTCAACCTTCACCTTACAATCCCTGGCCCCGTTGGAACGCAAAACCAAAGCCTGCGGCTCTGTAAGGGCTCTCCGTGACTCAGAAGTTCGCATGTACGTGTTGTTGAGCTGGAAGATGGCTATTATGCATATTTTTTTTCTACAATGATGTTTTAAAAAGAAAGCAAACCTAAAACAGAAAAAAAGGGAGAGAAAGAACATGCCTTGCACTGGAAGCTGGCCAAGGGGACCCTGGGCATGGTGCCCGCGGCAGACAGTAGAGCACGGTCCCTGGCGGTTTCCTTTCCTCTGCCGGCTCCTGGGCTCGAAACTGCTTCTGAGTTTGCTTGCGGCCTGAAGTGGCCTCCTCAGTCCAGGGCCCTTCCCCCATAGCTCTGTGCAGAAGGAGCCCTGCTCCTTTTCGGAGCACAGGCATCTGTCTCTGGGGACTGGTAAGCGGGACTCACCTGTTGTCTGGGTGACGCAGGAGACCTTGTAGGACAACCAGATGGTCAGCAAGCACAGGGCGGTGGCGATGAAACCGAACACCTGGGCAGCAGAGAGGGCAAAGCCACAGTGCAGGGTCAGGCCCTTGAGCAACCCTTAATCTGCCCTCTGCGATTTCAGAAGCGTTCACAACCAGGAGGGCTCAGGCTTCACCAATCAGAACAGAGCAGCCAAGAGGTGACATCAGGGAAGCCTCCCCACCCCAGCGCTGGCCCGGTGTTCGCCTTCCTGAGTGGCTGGCTTACTACAAGTGCCCTGGTGCCGCACTGGGTTAAGCACCCGCTGCTAACGGAAAGGTCAGTGGTTCCACCTGCTGGAGAAAGGTAGGACAAGTTGCTTTTTGCTGCCATTAGTAAGATTTACCGCCTTGGGATCCTTAGGACACAGTTCTACCCTGTTCTGTGGTTGTTGTTAGGTGCCCCCAGTCAGCTCCGTCCCATAGCGACCCTCTGCACAGCAGAACGGAGCACTGCAGGGGCCTGTGCCACCCTCACCACTGTTCTTACGTCCGAGCACACGGATGCAGCCGCTGGGTCAGTCCATCTCGTCAAGGGTCTCCCTCTTTTTCGCCACCCCCTCCCCTTTACCAAACATGATGTTCTTCTCCAGGGACTGGTCTCTCCTGACAAGTATGTCCAAAGTGTGTGAGATGAAGTCTTGCCATCCTTGCCTCCAAGGAGCACTCTGGCCTTACTTCTTCCAAGACAGACAGGTTTGTCCTTTGAGCAGGCCGTGGGACATACAATAGTCTTCTCCAGCACAATTCAAACGCAACGATTCTTCTACAGTCTTCTTTTTTCAATGTCTTACATATTCCATCCTGCAGGGTGGCTTGGAGTTGGGTTGGTCCACTCAGCAGAGGGGCTAGGCCCAGCCCGGATGGGGACACCACACAAACCCAAACCTGTTGCGTTCACTCTGATTCACAGTGCGGCTACAGGACAGAGTAGAACTGCCCCGACTATAGGATCTCCGAATCTGTCATCCTCCCGGAAGCAGACTTTGTGGTCTTTCAACCAGGGAGCAGCGGCTGATGGATTCAGACTGTCAATTTTCCGGCTAGCAGCTGGGCTTGTAACCACCGGCCACCAGGTCTCTTTTGGGATGGGCACAGGGTGGAAGAACTGTGGATACCTCCTACCTGTCTTGGCTTTGTGGAAATACGGGGCAGGCCCGGTAAGTTCTCGACACGTATTTCTAACTGCGTTTTCCATTCTCCATGACATACAGATATTGGTTCTAAGATAATATCCAACCAGCAATAGATTCTGGATCTTCTATGTCAGAGGCTGGCAAACTGCTTCTGGAGGGCTGACTTAACCATCTGCTTCTACACATACGATTTTTAAAATTATTAGTTTTAATGGACATATAACTCACCTAGCACACAATTTGACAGTTCAAACATATTAAGAAGGGGTTGTATCGTCATCACCACCATCAATTCTAGAACGTACATGAAGGTTTTATTGCAGCACAGCCACACCCATTGGTGTATGTGGCCGGCTGGCTACTTCCTGGCCTGATGGTCTCCTGGGTGGCCAACAAAACATGAAATATTTACTGTTGGATCTT